CTGGTCCAAATCAGCTGGACCGACTGGGGATGGAGTCGCCATTCGCCGGAGATGGGAACGGACCCGAGACAGCTCGTGGGCTGCCCAGTCCGGTCTCCAGGAATGCAAACTGCACGAAGGGACCTCAGGTGCTTTTGACTCCATATCAAGAGGTGGCGGGCGAGCTGCGACAACTGGCGCGAGCGTAGACCCCCCTGGTGGTTGATGTACGCTACAGCCGTAGTGTTGTCTGAGCGGACAAGCACATGCTGGCCCTTGAGCAACGCTCTGAAGCGGTGCAGGGCGAGTCGTACTGCCAGCAGCTCGAGGCAATTGATGTGCATGAGGCGCTGGCTCCTGTCCAGGAACCGGCGGCTGCATGCCCATTGCACATGGCACCCCAACCCGTGGTAGATGCATCCGTGGAGACGACGAGAATGTCTGAAAACTCGCTGAATAGGGACACCTGTCCGTAAAAAGCTGAGGTTTCGACCACGGGAAGAAGGTTCGGCGGCATGCCGGAGTCACTGGGACTCGGAGCGAGCCGCGATGCCATGCCCACCTCGGGACTCGATCGCGAAGCCACAGCTGAAGCGGTCTCATATGAAGCAAACCGAGCGCCGTTGCCGCGGCCGCGGATGCCATATGCCCCAGGAGCCTCTGAAATAGTTTCAGTGGAACCGCACTCTTGCCCTCGAACTGTCGAAGACAAGTCAGCAGTGAGTGCGCGCGCTCGTTCGTGAGCTGCGCGGACATGGCGACCGAGTCTATCTCCATGCCGAGAAAAGAGATCCCTCTGCACGGGGCAAAGTTTGCTCTTTCCCGGTGACCCGAAGGCCCAAACGGGCTAGGTGCGGAGCACCAAGTCTCTGTGTTCGCAAAAGCTGAGCTCGAGAGTGTGCTAGTATCAGCCAGTCGTCGAGATAATTCAGGATGCGAACCCCGTGTTCGCGAAGGGGAACAAGGGCTGCCTCGACGATCTTCGTGAAGACGCGAGGGGACAGAGCTAACCCGAATGGGAGAACGCCGTACTGATATGCCTGGCCCTCGAAGGCCAACCGAAGAAACGGCTGTGTCGGTAAGATGGACACATGGAAGTACGCGTCCTTCAGGTCGATCGCTGCAACAATCCTGATACCGAACACATTCGAAAAATGCGTTTGGCCGTGAGCATTTTGAACGGTAGTCGATGGAGAGAACGGTTCAAAATGCGCAGGTCCAGGATCGGTCGTAACCCACCGGTCTTCTTGGGGACAATGAAGTAGGGGCTGTAAAACCCGGACTCCACCTCGGCTGGAGGGACCATCTCGATTGCACCCTTCGCCAGCAGGGTCGCAATCTCCGCTCTCAGGAGTGGGGCATTGCCACCAACTATCGTGGAGCGAACTCCCCTGAAGCGGGGAGGAGACCGTGCGAACTGAATCGCGTAGCCGAATCTGATCGTTCTGATGACCCGCGGGATATCCCGGGAAGCACTAGCCAGGCTTCCAGGAAGTGAGCCAACGGGGTCATGTGAACCACAGACATCCCCCGGAGGGCAGCGTGGCGGGTCGACTGGCACGCGTGGAGGGATGACCCCGCTCGGATGCGTCGAAGCCCGCTCCCCGACGGAAGGGACCAGGGAAAGCGGAGCGTTCCACAGGGGTCCGTTCTGCCGGGGGGTCTGGCGACAGAGGGGGAGGGATTGGCGTAGCCCGGGGACGACACTCGCACCCTTCCGCGCCCTCAGAGACAGAGAGGAATGTGTGGGCTGACGCACTGGAACGTCGAGCGCACTCATTCCAGTCTGTGGGCTCAGTGATGATGTCAAGTCTTTCTTAACCAAACTCAGGGCGCTGCCCACCCATGGGCGAGCAGCGGGAACTGAAAACGAAAGATTTCCCCCCGGCCCTCCACCGGGGGCAGGAGGGGGCCTGCTCCCGCCTCCTGGGGAAAAACTCAACTCCATCACTGAGCAGCCCGTATCAGGATCATCGCTTACCTGGCGTTAGCGGGGTGTGCGCCTGAGGGGCTGTGACGCCTGCCGGCGGCCTCCTCCACGCCGTGGCCCGGATGAAGGCTGCTGCTGGGGCGGGGCGGGAGGCAGGGGAGCCGCGGGGGAGCGTCCTCGGCGGCGAGCAGCGGGAGGCATCTGTGCCGACGACTGGTTGGAGGCAGCAGCTGGTCGTCGGGGCAGAACATGTTTGATTGCCTCCGTCTGCTCCTGGGCAGTGGAGACTGCTGGGCAAGAGTTCTCGACTGCACCGCCAAAAAAGGCCAACCTGGGAGAGAAGGGCGTCGAGCAGACGAATCCGCTCAGCGCTCCGAGTGTCTGCCAGGTTGACGCTCCTGGACCACACTAGTGGCCATCACCTGACCAACGGCGCGAGCGGCCACTTTCGTTGCCCTTTTGGAGAGCAAGGTCAGTGGCGGACCGCAAATCTTCGAATGCCGTTGGATCAGTCCCGCCCTCGAGCATATCTCTGAGCATCTGCGCTTGCACAGTGCTCATCGCATGCAAAGCGGAGGCCGCCCGTCCCGCCGCTCTATAGGAACGCGCCGCCATGGCAGACGAGAACCTACAGGCTTTGGATGGGTGCTTAGGAGGACCACGGAGGAGGCGCTCTGTGGACACAGCTGTATCGCAACAGAACGCTCCAGCGGGGGCATCCCAGTGCACCCACGGGCGGCCCCCCCATCGAGGAGGGAAAGGCGGGGGAGAGATCGCGCTCTCGAGTGGACAGAGGAGTCCCCCAAGAGCGCGATAACTCCGCATGCAGCTCGGGGAAAAAAAGGCAATGGAGTTGGCCGTGGCCTCGCGGCGGCAGCTTTGTCCAAAAACCAATTATCCCTCCGTGAGAGATCGGGGGAGAATGGAGGATGCCACTCTAACCCAATACTCCCAGCGGCTTGAGACAGCATGCCGTCAGCTCGGGATCCGACACGGGCAGCGCTGGCTCTCCCGAAGGGGCAGTGCAGCCGCATCCTCATCTCCTGAGGACTGTAGCCCGCCTAGTGATGCTGCGATCGACATCACATCATCATCTGGAGCGCTGCTCGAAGCAGCCGGTACCACTGAAGAGGCAGCCGACTGAATCGAACTAACGCTCGCTGGCTCACGCACTGAGGCGGGAGGTGTGGCCCGAGAAATCGTCGGGGCTTTATGCCACATCGTCACCGTTAATTCGCCGGGTCCCCGGTCGACGGGCCCCCTTTCGTGAAGGAAGCCGATCGAGTAAGGGGGACCAGGGCTCTCACTCTAGTGAGATTTTTTATTTTTTTTTAACCTCAGTGTGGAGATGGTCATGTCCCCATAGCAGGAACATGAGTCATCCACGAACTCTGCTGCTGCATGCTGATTGCCCAGGCATACAGAGCAGCGATCGCGACCATCAGATGACGACAGAAATCGACCGCATCCAGAAGAACACGGGCGAACCGTCTTTAAAAAGACGTGCCGCGTGTAGCTCTTTTACAGAGAGGAGGAAATTCACTCTTTCAGCGCTGAGGCGACCAGGGAGAAGCGCAAAGTCTGGCAGACCACTGCACAGATCGCAGGCAATGCAGAAACTCGCTGGGTACCGCCGTCACACCAACACTGAAGAGGACGCTCGTCTCGAAGAGTCTTGTAATAGCTTTCAGGAGTGAAGAGGTTCTCTTGGCTCCGAAGCGAAAACATACTGCGGTTGCGTTCACTTCCTCCTTTTATACTCACGGAGTAGGGCGGAGTACGCTATGCAAATTTCCGCAGCCCCAAGGCATTGCATGCCATTGGCTCGTTTTTAAATACTCGAAGAGGATTGGCTTTCTATGCGAAACCCCCAATCTCCGTCACTTCTGACGTAACTCGAAGTGACTACGAAAGGGAACCTTAAATTCTTTTCGACTGAGGAAAGAAAAACATGGACATCTTGGATGACATGGGGGTGAGTAAATTATCAGCAAAAGTTTTTTTTTCAAAAGTGAACTAATCCTTTAAGAAACCAAGTTTAATTTTGTGTTTATGGGTTAACATTACAATAAACTGTCAGGTGGTTGGTTTTGACATTGGCTGTCATGAGGCCATTGTGTCATATCATAATTATGAAGGTGTCATGTCTGTCTTATTCACACCCCTTTCAAGTAAAGTGTTACCAAAAAGTTTATATCTCTAGCAGAGTGTTTCCCAACCCTGTTCCTGGAGACAAGCCAACTCTACACTTTTTCAAACTCTTCCTAATCAAACACGGAAGAGTGATATCTAAAATGTCTACTGTTGATGTGCCTCCAGGAACAGGGTTTGGGGAAACTGCTCTAGCATGCTAAAAATAATGCTCTAGCATTCTACTGTTTCAGCCAAATATAGATATAGTTAGAATCGGCTGGTTATAGATGGTAATCTGGGATTATTCTACAACCAGCGACTGTATATTGGAGATTAATCAGACTTTAGAACTTGGGTCCACAAAGTGTGCCACACAACATCCCACTTTCATTTTTCACCTCTTTCTTGTAATTTATTTCTGATGGAATATCAGAAGGTTATCCATTAGTTGTAAATGGCATTTTGTTGTTGTACTCCTTTATTTGAAATGTTTCCCTTCCAGTTTTACCAAATGTTTGCTGTTTGTCTTTGCATTTTAAAGTATTGAGGTATTCTTAAAGCATTATTAAAGTGTTTTATTTATATTTAAAACTCACCATTGTTCTCTGCGTACATCCTGACCACAGGCATCATCTCGAACAGCACTTTGGGTTTGGAATCAATGAGCTTGCAGTTTCTGCGGTCCCAGCCGGCCCCTTCCAGGTAGAGGCCATAGACATACACCCCCTCTGAAGGAGGCTGCGTGATGTCATCCTTCATCCATTTAGTAACTTCATTAGACAGAACCATACGGTCCAACGCCCACCCCTTGTTAGCACGAGTAATCTCCTGTTGAGTTAGAGACATGATTAATGAGTATATCTGCTATGTATAATTACAATTCAATATAATATAACTGAAAAAAAAAACATAAAATATAAATATATATAGTATGAGTAATTCAATAAAATTCACACAATATATATATCGTTATTCAACTCAAACCAAGTTAAACATGCCTCCCTGGCCTTCAATTAAAGCGACAGATATATACTGTGTGATAGATCAATAAATAAAAAATAAATAAAAAAAATAAATAATTATAAATATATATATATATATATATATATATATATATATATATATATATAAATAATCAGGCATTTTTAGTGTATCCCGCAATGAAGCGCCTGGGTTCTTTCCCTTAATTTTACTCTCAGAGCTGCAGGTGTTGGCACAGAAACGCAGCTGAGAACAGAAAACAGGATGGGTGCCCAATATTAAAGGAGCAATGTGTGACTTTTAGCGACATCTAGTGGTTCGGTTGCGAGTTTGCACCAGGTTTGCACTAAGGGCTCAGCCCACTGCTCACCCCTCCCTTTCGAAGAAGCTACGGTTGCTAAAACGGGACAAACATCTCGTCGGCTGAGACAGCAGAGAATAGCCAGAGTAAGCCAAGAGTGTGTAACATTGTCACTGTTTCTGTACCACAGTCCATTATAAACCACATCATGAATACTGTCTGTTTACAAAGCCATAGTCAGGTGAGGATCAAGGGTTTTAATATATAATTTAATAAAATAATAATCAGCTGATTGTCTCACAAACGTAACCAGCAGCACATTTCTCCCCACATACTGTAGCAAACCCATAATACAGCGAGGGAGCAGCTATATATTTTTTCTAACAGGGTATAATAGTTTAGCTGGCTAATATGAGCTGTTACTGTGGCTGAGCTGGGACGCGTCTGCATGAGTCCAAAGGTCGGAACTGCGCGCGCTGTTACAATCATGTCATCTCCGCATCCCATAGATACTATTTACTACACACAATAGGCTTTTTTTCTCTGATTTTTAAAATTCTTCGCGATCGACTTTAGTGATAAAAGACTTTAGTAAAAGTCTCTATCGACGGGTTAGTGATTCCTGTAACGTACTGTTTTACGGTCAATGACATGAATACTAATCATCAGCTGTCTCACGAACGTAACAGCACATCTATCCCCAACATAACAAACCCATAACACAGCGAGGGAGAACTAAGTTACATGAAACAATCCCAACTACATATTTTACACCACTCACAAGGGAAAAGTCACTACTCACGGAGTGTAAGGCTAGCTTCCAGCTTTCCGCTACTTCTCTTTCAAGGTAGTGATGAAACGCGTTCTGTAGCGCTGTTTGTTCGCGTTCGGCTACGGTAGGAATATGACGTCACAACATGGCGACCTTCATAGAAGGGGATTCCCTCGGTTATGGAGCTATTAATGTCTCATTCTAAGGTAATAAAAACATTACGGCTAATTAAGTAAGTTCTTTATACACCACTGAAAACATAGTTATGGATGTCATATTGCATTTCTGTTAATAGATACTCAACTTTGTTACACATTGCACCTTTAATTAAAATAATCCTGTTTCATGCAAGCTGTTTACCCCAAAGGCAATAGCTAGAATGCACCCCACTGAGCAGTTCCCTTACAGCCCAAACTGTTTTAACAGGAACAGTTTATTCAGCCTTTAGACAAAACATTTTTAAAGTTTGCATAGGTGGGTTTTTTTGTTTTGTTTAGTATCACATTTGATACATCAGGCTTTATTGGCTCATATGATATAGTGAGCACCTCACTTGATAATTTAGAATTTAATATATATTCAGAGGCCCAAACTGTGCAAAAAGATGCAATTAGTGCATTTGCTGATATTTATATGGCTAGAAAGTAAAATGAAATTCTGATAGCTGATAATGTAAATCAATTACATTTTTTTTTATAACAGTAATGCAGAATATTACATAATTCATATAAATAGGTCACTCCTAACATTATCTCCCAATAATATGACTATTACGATGAAATTTAAATGCTTAATGATCTGTATTTTTTATTGTGGGGGCATAACATTTCATGCACTGTTATACAATGATGATTAAGAGATGTTTGTATAAATAAACCTTCCTCAAAATCATGATGCATCATACTTGAAAGACAATCGTTTTTTTTATTGTCATCAATCATGTTTTTCATGCAAATCATTTTTTTTTTTTTTTTTTTGATGAAAACAGGATTTATGGATAATCAAATAAACCTAAAGTAGCTTCCAGTAAATGTTTATCTTGAAATATTACTAACAGTTTCAAAATTATTTGTACGTTTACTTTATAAAAATAACTTTTTGTGTACTTTTTTTAACTAAAAGGTCTTTTAATTGCGAAAAATTTATAAACTATCAGAGGGTAGCAGATAGTGTACAACAGGTTGTTTATCAAGGTTTTGTTGATAATTTGAAGGCCTTAGACATTTGCATATCAAATATACATCAAAAGATACTCTAGGCTTTAAAGGGTTAACATCTAACTCCTAAAGGACAAAATTAAAACTTGTTGTTGAGGAAAAACGATCAGATCAACAGATCGGGAGGGAAATGAGTACAAGTGTGCGTTAAGCAGAAGTGTTCATGTTACCCACCTGTCTCATAGCTGTCAGGAAGCCCTGTGGGTTGAAGAAGCCTGTCATCCAAAAGCAGTTGGGTCGTCCCTCAAAAATCCATGAGTGGAACTGCCGGTTACGCTCCAGCAACTCTGTGAACCAAAACCCCAATGTGGTAGAAGCCCAGGAGGCCTGGATACACACACACACACACACACACACACACACACACACACATCGGCAGAAGGTCAGCAGAGCAGAACCACAGTTAACACGAACAAAGTCAGAGTGACACTTAGCAAATCCAGATCTTAGAGGGATGCTTGAGGCATATGGCTGATGGTTGAACTCCAGCTGACACAAACAGATACACACAGGATTTTCACCCTGACCTGGGCTGTCAAGCACTGACTAAAAACACCATAAAGTAAAAGAGCTCTTTGTGTGAAGATTTTATAGTCAATATCTTTGTATCAAGACTGATTGGGCATGACAACAACTGTGGGAAAGATTTATAGTGAACTTAAAAATCTGCCTGCTCAGCACAGAATATAGCTTCAGAATATAGTCTATATAGTCAAATGGACTAATTTTATGGTTCTTTTATTAGATGATGTTTTTGTTCTTTTTGCAGATTTTCAGGAAAACAAAAAGTTTGACCCTTTTTGTTCCAAGAAAACTGTTTAATACGTTTAGCTTGAGACAAAAATACCAAACATTTTGGACAGGCCAACAGTGTAAAAGTACAAAACAGGGCATTTACACGCACAAACAGGCATTATAAATTCACATATAAACACATGTGCAGATGCAAGGTAAGTTACAGCCTGATTGTTATTCAGCAGGCATTTTCAATTAGCTCATGATTGGTTCGGCTTGAGGAGCATTTGAAAAGCAGAGTTAAATGAAGCTGTTTTGCTGCAGGAGAGCTGACGAGGTGTTTAAGAAACTTAAGCCCTGCACCTCTGGGTTTGATTTTTCACATTCAAGATGACACAGCTCATCACAGCTCATAAGAGATTAACAATACAGTTTATAGGACAATCATTACAATATATAATATCATTAACTAAAGGGAAACTATATGGGAATATTAGTACAGATATGGTGTTTCAAAATGCATTATATAAAACTAGCTCCAAAATCGTATGTTATGATACATTCACCTAAAGGATTATTAGGAACACCATAGTAATACCGTTTGACCCCCCCTTCGCCTTTAGAACTGCCTTAATTCTACTTGGCACTGATTCAATAAGGTGCTGAAAGCATTCTTCAGAAATGTTGGTCCATATTGATAGAATAGGATCTTGCAGTTGATGGAGATTTGTCCAGAGCATCCAGGGCATGAAGCTCCCGTTTCACCACATCCCAAAGATGCTTTATTGGGTTGAGATCTGGTGACTGTGGGGGCCATTTTAGTTAAGTGAACTCACTGTCATGTTCAAGAAACCAATTGAAATGATTCAAGCTTTGTGACATGGTGCATTATCCTGCTGGAAGTAGCCAGAGCATGGGAACATGGTGGCCATAAAGAGATTGACATGGTCAGAAACAATGTTCAGGTAGGCTGTGGCATTTAAACGATGTCCAATTGGCACTAAGGGGCCTAAAGTTTGCCAAGAAAACATCCCCGACCTAAAGAATGTAGATAGTCCAATTGGTATATACACCATGACTGAACATTAATGAAATTAATCAGGACATTTATATCTACACTAGCTACTTTAAGTCATAATTCATTTGTTTAAAAACTATTCCCAACGGGGTTTGTGTTTTTGATGTGTACATTGTCCTACATTTGACACATAAAAGGCAGGCAATGGACTATAACCTTTTTCCAGCGTGCAGGTATTCGGGCGTCATACATGCAGTCCAGTGCGTCTCGCAGGTTCTCACTCATAATGATGGTTCCGTCGATGGCCAACTTTAGGTCACTCAGCGTGTTCCTGACCAGAACAATCACTCTCTGCATGCGATCAATCTCCTGCCGCAGGAAAATGTTCATGGGCTGAAGGGGACCCATGCTCATCAATCTCTCTCTGACCTGGATAAATGATGCAGTTTAAATGTATTATTGTGTCATTTATTAGTTTATTAGATCTATTAATTTTTATTGTTAATCAAGTAAAGGAGACAGTGACAAATATTAGCATTGACGCAGTTTACATGGGCGCAACTCCTCAATTTGAGTCCTCTGAGCACTTAGGCAACAGACTACTGAAATCTGACATTCTACTGCTTCACAACCATTATCTAGACAGCCAAATCGGCTCTCTTAAATGCCAAAAGTGTTTCTTTTTTATACTGCAGTTGTAAAACTCTTCTCCATGAATTGCATGATTTTCTGCTGCTATGAACAATTGGAAATGTATAAAAACACTATTTTCAATGAATTGCAGTTTAATGCCATCTTTCTATGTGTGGTGATAGCTTAATGTAAAGTGCATCATGACATAATTGGAAGCACATTTCAGATCTGGGTAAACAGGATGGTAGGTGCAGAAAGCACAATGTTTTATTTACATGTAGAAAGTCACTCTTTTTGCTATTGTTATTAATAATAGAGTTTCAAAATTGCCAGAAAGCAGGGCAAGGGTTTTAAATATTTTAGGAAAGCTCATGATTGAGACAAATCTGCTTCTCTGCAGTCCGCTGTGAGAGATAATGAAAGCAAAAATCCCTTTTTCACCCTAAGGCACCTTTTTCTTTCTGCTGCCTCGTTAATTGGCGAACAATCAGAGGGGAGTAACAGCAAATTACTGTCTTTATGTTTCATAAGCAACTGCCGTTGGGTTTTAAAACATTTCCAAAAAAAAAAAAAAAGCATTAGCACAGGCATCTGTGACCTCAACACCATCCGTCAACCCTGAAAATGTTCCCACAGAACTCAAGCTCCAGACAGCAAACGCCATTTGCTCCCATTGGGCTCTGAGTTTTCTCTATCAACCATACATTTTGCTGCATCATTGTTATCCAGTCTGAAACTTTACCTCAAATGGGACAAAATCTGGAGGCAGTTTCTCCAGCATGTCATCCGCTAGCCGACCCACAATCGCCTCCCTGGTCTCACCGCTTCCACTGGAGCTGTCCTTTGGTTGGATACTCAGGATAGTGTCTAGTACGTCCTTGGCAAGTTTGCTTTGGTAGGTGATGTCTGCATTTGGGTGGAGGCCGAACACCTCAGGGGTGTCATATGTAGGGAGACCCTTCAGGAGACAAAAAAAAAAAAAAAAAATAATAATCTTAGTCCCAAATAAAGGAATGTTCTGGGTTATGATGTATGAGTATGAGTTATGATGTTGCCTACAGAACCATATTGGTTATCAAAGAGTATTATTTTCATTTGTCCCTCAGTTAAAGCAAGGCACATTGGTATGAACATTAATGCGATTGTCATGACCATAAACTGGTAAACGTTTATGATTCACAATGATACAAGAAAAGGAATAGGACTCTAAATTTAAACAGTTGGGGGAAAAGTCCACATTTCTCCTTTTAAATCCTCAAAGTCGACCATTTACTTCTTGTAAGTCAAATAATTTCCATGGTCAGCATCATCATAGCACAAATGCATTTGTGCTTGACTTGAAATAAAGCCAAAATATTCCTTTAAAATATTTGTTTATAATATCTGGAGATTGTCCACAAAGGCATGATTCAGTAATGCATGCAAAACCTTCATCTATAAAACAAATTACAGTATGTGGCTGTGGTAAATGAGAGTAAATACTAGAAACAAGGCTGGCCATGTTCCATTGAGGACATTAACGTTAAATACAAGATTTACTTTCAAAGACCATGTCAAGGTTTTCAGCCGGAACAGGGAAAACCTTGCCTTCCTTTGACACCTGAATCGATGTACTTATTACATCATAAGAAGAATGGTATCTATGCTAATATTAGTCTCTCTGTTCATCCCAAGGTTTACAGTAGTCAGCCGAGTCCGAGCCATATCCAGATCAGAGGACGGATCTGAACCTAGACACGACCACAATGCGTCCCTGAAATGTCAGCAGAGATTGTGAATTAGACTCTCCTGTGAAGTTCTCATCAACACGACAGCCATTGGCACTGATCTTCAACAAACACATCTTCATACCGGTGTGATGACTCCGACTCCTTCAACCACATGGAACTGGATAAATATTCTGAATGTTCTGATCGAATCTGACCTCAATCTGACTTCTAATTCTGCCTGAATCATAATCATACACTGTTCGTGCGTTGGCCAGAGGAGAACTGGATTCTCCATTTTATCACCCGATGAAGTTTTGGTTCCTTGCCAAAGTCGCCTTTGGTTTGCTTAGTTGGAAACACTTAATATTCAACAATAATATTAATCTGCCAGCATTGACACCATTATATGAGAACTGAACTGAACTGCATCACTGTTTTCTCCAAAGCTGCTGTATAAATACATTAACACAATTAATTACTTTTTTACAACAGAAATGAACCAACTCTGAACTTACTATGACTATGACACCCTTTTTTTTTCTAGATCAGCTGTAAAGTCGGAACAAACTTTGTTACATTATCTTCCTGTTATTACTGTAAACCCTTTTTGAAACAATCTGTATTGTAAAAATACAGTCTATAAGTAAAGGTGTCTTGACTTGATATATTTCTGATTTCTGCAACAGCAATGATAAACCGAAAGCATGAAATACACAATTAATACATAATAACTATAAGCTTATAAATGTATCATTAAGGGGGGGGGGGGGGTTGATTGCGATTTCACTTTTTTCATTTTAAATAATGTGTAATGTTGCTGTTGGTGCATGAACAGTATCTGCAAAGTTGCAGCGCTGAAAGGGGGGGGGGTTGATTGCGATTTCACTTTTTTCATTTTAAATAGTGTGTAATGTTGCTGTTGGTGCATGAACAGTATCTGCAAAGTTGCAGCGCTAAAAGTTCAATGTAAGCAGAGATACTGTCTTTTAAAAATCGGGAAGTTTAACGCCCACAAAAATGACTCGATTGGGACTATAGCCGGGTTTTAGACGTCACTAACTCATCCATTTACATCAACCCTACCTCCGGAATATGCAAAAAAGTGTGTTATTTTCACCCAGCTGTCAAGTCTTCTGTGTTCGGGCTTTCCACGGATGCTGTACTTCGTCAACAATGGACACAATTTATGTTTAACTATGTTCCTGAAAATGACAATCGTAATTTATCTCTGTGCAGCGCATTTTACGGAAGACAGCTTCCAGAATCTCCACGAATTCAATGCCAGATTCAATAAGAAACTGTTACTAAAACATGAAGCAGTTTCAACTTTAAAACCAGAGGCAGCAGTTGTTGGGCCACAACCTGTAAGTAGGCTAAGACTTAATCATTTTAAATTAATTTGCTTGTATAATTTCAGACATAGCCTTGTGTTTTATTTTTATCAAATGCCAGCGCTGGCTTTATAACCACTAGGCTACTAGTAATGCTATTTTGTGTCTACGACAAACGTGTATAAACATTATGGACGTGAATTTTGTAAGAGCCGTGTGTGGTGAGGTTCTGCTTGCCTCTCTTTCTGGGTCTGATTCTGGCTCATACTGATTCTGGCTCATACTGACACTGCAGTATCGACACCATTATTTATATTTGACAGGAACACATATGCAACTTTGCCCGTAAAGGTAATGGGCAGGAACCTTATGGACAACGTGCACTACAGTTTAGCCAATCACAACACACCGGCCCAAACTAACCAATCTGAGCCCACTGGCTGTTTCTGGGGGAGTGCTTTCTTAGACTCAGAGGAAGTCAACCAGTCGTTCAAATGACAGAGGAGAAAGCGGCTTACAATAAAGGTGAAATTTATGAAAAATAAGATTTTAAAAAAAAGAAAAAACACGATTACATGGTATATTGCACCTCATAAACACAATCATGCAAAGAAAAAAAGCAATAAACCACCCCCTTTAATAAAACCAAACTAGTTTCAATCTCATTCATTTTAACTAACTGAATCTTGTTCCACAGCTAGCCATTTTAATACCATGTTCATACTTTTAAACAGATTTTTTTTTTCAGAATTAACATGACTTTGCTGATTCTAAGCCATTATAATAATTTCCTTTTGAAGATATGATTATTTGAATAAAAATCAAATAGATGCAAATACTTAAGAAATGTGCTATTTTTTAGTGTATAAAGGTCCATGTTTTGATTCTAAATTTAAATATTCTAAAAATAAAGTGATCAGTGTCTTGCGATCAGTTTTCACATGATATAAACAACCATTATGAGAGCTCACTCTCATTAGCTAGGAAAGCTTAAGCATACTGCATCAGTTTTGATAAATGGATGAATGCTTTCCCACATCTCTTCCTTTTTGATGAGCAATCATTATTAAAGATGTTTATTAGTTGATCCACGCATGCATTCAGTGTTGTGTACCAGCAATACAAGTCATTTCGCATTACACGCTCATTCATCATAATTCATCAAAAGCTTAACAACATGTGCTTAGAGATTTTATACTGAACAGCTGAACGAAAGATATTTTTTTCATTTATTTTCTTTATTCTTTTTTGAAGCAAAATGTCTCACATGTTTCTTCAGGAGCTTTTGTGAGTGGTTTCATTAACTAATAATGATAAGCTCATTGCGTGTTACATACTGAACAAAGCTCTGGAGTGTACGCTGTGAGTGCACAGACATGGCTCGAAGAGATCATGTCTGAGAGAATCATCCTGCTGTGAGTTGGGACTAAAAACATCCATCACAATCAGCTCAGACAGAATAAAGTTCAGCCGTACTCTGCTTGCAGCTGTACTATTTCTCTCACGAGGACACCACTGCTTTACATGACTCACTGTCTTTAAAGGGTTAGTTCACCCAAAAATGAAAATTAAGTCATTAATTACTCACCCCCATGCTGTACCAACCCCGTAAGACCTTCGTTCATCTTCGTAACACAAATGAAGATATTTTTTATTAAATTTGAGAGCTGTATAACTACCACATAGACTTCCGGGACTGGCTCTTGACAGCCCAGAAAGTCAATGAAGAAAATGTTTAAATATTCCAACGCATTCTCATCCTTTAACGTCATATAGAACGCTATATGACAAAACGGCGCTATACTACGCACATGGCACCCGTTATCGTTAATATAACACGTGCTGTGAGGGCTAAGTTTAGGTGTGGGGTAGGGTGTGCGTATCATATTCACGCTAAAGGATTTATAACGTCTTGGGTTCGCGTGTTACATTAACGATAAAGGGTGCCATGTGCGTAGTATAGCGCCGTTTTTGCATATAGCGTTCTATATGACGTTAAAGGATGAGAACGGGCTGAATATTCCATGTGACTACAGTGGCTCAACTATAAGTTTATCAAGCGACGACAATACTTTTTGTGCGAAAAAAAAAACACACAAAAATAACGACTTTATTCGACTTTTCCTTTTCTTCCTTGTTGGCCTGAAACGAGACTTCCATACGATTTCCACGACGCATGCGCGAGAACTGAACTGAAGTAGTGTAAGGAGATCGCAATTCTCGTGCATGCGTCGTGGAAATCTCGTTTCAGGCCAACAAGGAAGAAAAGGAAAAGTCGAATAAAGTCGTTATTTTTGTGGTTTTTTTTTTCGCACAAAAAGTATTGTCGTCGCTTGATAAACTTATAGTTGCGCCACTGTAGTCACATGGAATATTTAAACATTTTCTTCATTGACTTTCTGGGCCGTCAAGAGCCAGTCCCGGAAGTCTATGTGGTAGTTATACAGCTCTCAAATTTAATCAAAAATATCTTCATTTGTGTTCCGAAGATGAACGAAGGTCTTACGGGGTTGGTACAGCATGGGGGTGAGTAATTAATGACTTAATTTTCATTTTTGGGTGAACTAACCCTTTAATGTACAACAGGAATAAGGTCAGTGAGAGGCTGGTTATGTTCCTCTTTGCACTGGAATGGCTATTATGAAGTGGTGTACTGTATATATTTGGCTTTGATTGAGCTGCACAATTTTCAAGCCTGATGAATCAGCTTTATTCTCTCTGTTTGTTAAATTACAGTTGACGAAAGATTGGCCTTTTTCTGTTTATATATATATATATATGTTTTGGTGTTTTGGTCTTCAGATTGCTTTCTGTCAGCATGCACAAACTGTGCCAGATGCGACTTGAATATTAATTACTGTTATGTTCGCACCAACTCTGCTGAAAGGGGGGTGATGGTAGGTCTTTATAGTGGTACCATTTATTGCACATTTGCCAGAGACCTCTGAGAGAGAAGAAAATAAGAACTTTCACTAAATCTGAAATGAACACCTTTGTAATGCACTTGAAATTTACATTAACAGCTTATTAACAGTAAAGCTGTTGCATAATTTATCTCTTGCAGAGGAGGTGCAGAATTTGTTTCTGCTTGGATCAATTTATTACATTACTTGGTATCATTGTACTATTTTAATGTTGTTGTTTTTAAAGTAAATATTAATACTTGTTAGTTTTGGCAGATTTTTATTGTAAATGTTAATTGGAGTCACCCTGCTATGTAATAAACCACCATTGTCTACACAGACAATTGTCAACACAGTCTCACCTCAATTTCTCACCTCCTTCTAAAGAGACAAAACAAATAGAAGCGACTGATCCCAAAGAGACTGACTGAGCAGTTTCATTGGAACTTTCTATCTCACCTGAACATATTGGAGATACTGATCCACATTATTGCATCTGGGGATGCAGTAGCCTTTGTAGAAGTAGAAATCAGGGCTGAACATGTTCTCATTGAACCACACCTTCGCAAATGTGTTCAAGAGGCGCTTGTCATAGTCATCAGTCACCCTACCGCCATACTGGATCTCGCCGATCATGTAGCGCACAGTGTTCCAGGACACACCCTGTAAAAATACTCATTCAAATTAAAATGCCAGGTGCTGAGTCTATTTTTATGGCAACTTTTTGCATAGACCCTTGACAAAGATGTAAATCATAGACATACTGTACACTTTATGTAAAAGGACCTTCTCGCAGATGTGGAAAAGGTTATGTTCATGCCGTACTTTAATAATAAAGACATTTGACAAGAAACCATATAATTCAAAATGACTCTCAAATAGAGGTTATATTAAAGGAGAACTCCAGCGCAAAATGAACCTTTGGTCTAATAAAACATTGGTACCTTGTCCACCATACTCTGAGATTTGTTTGCATGACATTCGAATGTAAAGAGTTTTATCTGTATAACTGTTTAGCATATAACGCTAGTATATTGGGGGCATATAATAAGTAAAAAGAAATCGCTAATTAATACCACTAACAAGACTCAAAATAGCCCCACACTAGCACAGTAACATAATGAGGGTCCCTGCATGCAGAACGAAGCATTGAGAACTTTGAAAGTGTACAGACCGTTTAATAAGAAGATACTTTATAAAGACAGTCCACTTCATGTATACAGGCAGGAGAAAACAAGTCAAAACCACGAACGCTGTTCATACAGTTCAGAAGTTCGCTGAACTTCATACAGTTCAGCTTACTTGGCATGGCGTTCGTGGTTCAACTTGTCGAGACTGTTTTCCAAAGATGGCTCCGGCTGTGTATACACAAAGTGGAGTTACTGTACACTTACAAAGTGCTTACAATGCTTCGTTTTGCACGTAGGGACCCTCATTAGTGTGGGGCTATTTTGAGCCTTGTTAGTGGTATTAACTAGCGATTACTTTTTACTTAATAAATGCCCCCATATACTAGTGTTATACACTAAAACAGTTTTTAGAGATTAAACTCTTTACATTTGATTATCATGAAAACAAATCTCAGAGAACGGCTAACTGGGTACCAAAGTTTATTAGACCAAAGGTTCATTTTGCGCCGGAGTTCTCATTTAAGTTTATGTGGGATTATTCAAGGTGTATAATTACAGAACAAATTAGACCAAATAAACTTTACAAAATTTTTCTGAAACAAGTTTATGATGTGTTTAGCTGATTTAATTGTGCTAATTATTACGATCTAGTAACACAGCGGCTCCATAATGCAACTCTCACCTTCTTGATGTCCATATCATCCAGGTGGTTCTGGACAAACTGTATGGTTGCATTGAAATCTGCCTGGTTGAACTCATATGGGATGTTCCAACCCAAAGGTCCATATTTTCGCCTCTCTTGAACAGTGGAATGGAGGAATGCCACCCCATACAACATGGGCCTCCATTGGACCATGTTACTCACATCTAGAAGATCCTGACTGATACCTGGAAGATATTATTGGGTATTACCAAATTGTAAGACTTTCGCTATCAATAACACATACACACTAGTTGTTTTTTTTTTTTTTTCGTGATATTGGAATACTGAGGGCTCCTCAAATATTCATCTAAATGTTTCAAATCCATTTGTTGCCTCAGGTGATGCTACAGTCTTTCATCTCAAATAGGGAGGATATAAAAAAAACAGCCTGCAGTTGACATGGAGTGAAGAAATAAATAAAACTGACAGGCTAAATATCCAGAGAGGTCAGGCTCACCTCCGTAAGTCCTTTTAAGTCCGGCTTTCAGTCCCTGTGGAGGCTCATTGGTGAATTTGATTGACATCTGCAGGAGAGTGATAGGAAAGTGTCTGTGGACCTCAGTGGTCATCCACAGTCTGAAGGTGTCATTAATGCTGTCTGTCTCTGTGACTGTATCCATGAGTTCATCCATAAAATCCAGACCCAAATGACAGTTCTGAAGTAAAGCCCAGCCTCCCTAATGGGAGAGAGAGATAAGATTTGGTTTTAGACAAAGTATTCAGGTTTATAGACTTCGTTGAGCACAAATACTGAGAGATAAGAAAGCCATCAAGTGGAATTGCAAAAAAAATCTCTTCTTTCAAAGATGCATCCCAAACTCTCCACTTTCTTCCATTAGCTAAACAGACAAATAATGTGGTCCCAAAATGGTTGGCTGAGCTAATGTACTGTATTCTGCTGTAGAAAATATTCAATAAACAGTAAACTGAACAACAGAGCCATTGTGTTGACACTTTTGGGAAAATCAACCCATGAATGACTAGTTTATTATTATCTCTGCATATTAAGATGGGATAGAAGCAAGTGGCATTAAAAATGCATGAATAAGAACATACATTAGCCATACAGTGCTGCAGAAGTTTGCGTGCATGAACTTCCTGCCCCTGACCCATTGAGACGTAACGAGTCTCAATTCTTTGTCGTTTGCCCAGGGCGATGATGGAGTCTGTTGGGTCTGAACCCATGGATAGGAAGCAGATGAGAGGAGTGCGTGGGTCAGACTCCTCCCACGTCTTCTCCAGATCCAGAATCACTCCCTCAGCATATCTCTCCCCCATTGAGTGCATGATGTACTTCCGTGCCTTTCAATTACACATTGGAAAACAAGTAATTACCCTGATGCAATTAATAGCGCTTTACCCAATACATATTGTTTCAAAGCAGCTTCACGGGAATAAACAGGTATATAATAGTGTTGCGAATTGTATCAATTATGAAATGACTATAAAACAGCTGTACGGCAACTCTACCGAAGACAATATTATTCAGGTCAAATTCAGTAAATATTTAGTTTAATTTAAGGCCATTGCACACTGAGTACGAAATATTCGTATGCGTATTTTCGTGTTCGCCAGCCTAAAAATTCGTCACGCATAGAAACCTTGCACACCGAGTCCGTTGCGTATTTATTAAACCTTTGCGGGAAAAAACGCAAAAATACCAAATGGATTCGTCAAGCGGTGAGGATGATTTTTGCCCTCTCTCTTATTAAAAAGAGAAGAAAGAGAAAATATTACATCCATCCAATCCTGAAATTGCGCCGAGAGGAAGGAGAGTTCCTTATCAAGGAGTTGCGAATTTATCCTGAGCGATTCAAAATTTACCTCAGAATGTCAGTGGGACAGTTTGATGCTTTGCTAGCGATTCTGGAGCCACATATTAAAAACAACACCACCAATTTCCGTGAACCAATCGATTCTGAACGGAGACTGGCAGTGTGTCTGGTATGGACCAGGTATGAACACACACACAAACACACACACACACCCGCGCGCGGACCGGTGGAAGCGCTGGGCAGACAGAACAGCTAGGCTGTTATTGTGTAGGCTATATATTGTGTATTTATTGTGGCCAAATAATACATTAGTTATCGAATAGGCTGCTCAATCACACCTTATTCGATCCTAAATTTAAATCTGATTGAAAGGGGAGGTTTATTAATTTCATAATCAAATATAGAGAAGAGAACATAAACACTTGATCGAATTGAAAACCGAAACTGAAAGCACAGAGCCTTTGAGGACGAGCTCCCCCCGGCCCTGAATTGTCAAAAGACCTCTCAAAATGCTGGCTCTGGATGCGAAAAACGCCGAAAATCGAACCCGATCCGATTAATTTTATGACGGACGAAAGTTTCGGAGGCGGTGTGCAAGCGTGACTGACATAACATGAGGTCGAATTTTTTTTTTAACGTGCGAAAATTTCGGATACGAATTTCGGACTCAGTGTGCAATGGCCTTTAATCTGATCAGTGCAGTCATATTGATATTTCTAAATGGTGAAGCCTCAAACTGAGCAAGCCAACAGTTGGCAAGGACAGTAGAAAGAAACTAATACAGCTGACTGTTATAGAGAAAAAAAAAAAAAAAAAACTGGGGGAAATAAGGCTCAGTCAGGGGACCAATTCTCACCTTGCCAAAGTGATGGATATCCAGAAGGTCAAGAAATATTACACACATACATAAGGCTGATAGCAAATAGGCATGCTGTAATCAGAATTCTTCTGTTCGGGATTATTTTGCTGATAACAGTAATGAGTTTGTGATGCGCTAAGAAGGCATTTTGTGCATTAATTAATTGTCATAACATCTGTCTGCAAAAATAATTTGTTTTGGTTCTGTGATGAAAAAATGCAATGTGAGGAGTTTCACAAAATAATAATAATAAAAAAAAAATCAATAATTGAATGACTTCACTGGATACGCTGCATTCACAATGGGCTCATTTATACCTGAGCAATGGTTCTATCTGGACACCAGGATCGAATAAGGAGCAGCCGTCTGAAACAGTCCAGAGCCTGGTCATATGAATTTGGGATTGGTTCTTCCTCAGGTGCCTCTCGATCAAACCAGCTCTTCCACTGTTTCTCATGACGTCCAATCTGTTAACACAAGTATACACAAAAGTGAGTGAATCTGGTACTAATTTAGACAGTTGACAAGAAATCATTTTGGAAAGTTGTCATGTTCTACGACTCTACGGGGTGCATTTTGATTATTTTTAGTTATATTTTAAATGGTAAAAAAGCCAAATAATAGCTTTATACATATTTTATGTATTGAACAATATACTGCATTATTTTTAAAATTTTGGTAACCATTGTGGTTTCCATTTGACTTCCATTGTTTGAAAAAAAAAAATACACTGAGACATTTCTCAAAATATGTTATTTTATGTTTCACAGAAGAAAGAAAGTCATACAGATTTGAAACAACATTAGCATGTGTAATGATTACACATTTTTCAATTTTGGGTGAACTAAACCGTCAATATATATTACATAGCATCTAAAATTAAGTGTTTTGGAATTAAATTATTAAAGACAAAGACTAAACATGATGATACGGAAAGCATGGATTTTTTGATGTGTCATGACATTGTATTATGAAATCTTGTGTGTGGGTTAGCAGAATTTCTGTAGTTGTGGTGTTCTGGAAATGGTTAATTAAACAAAAGGCTTTTAATCTGATTTCTTTCAGCCACAATAATTGATTTAGAGTTTGCCAAAGTAAGCTCATTTCACACTGCATTGAGCATGAATTTCCCCCGGGCAGTCATGGCCTGCCAATCAGTCGACAGTGTGAGGGGTCGTGAATGTATTTGTGCCTGTGTGTGTGTGTGTGTGTGTGTGTGTAGACCAGATGAATCAAATATTGACATGTTTACTGCAAAGAGTGAGCAGTGAGAAGGATTTAATGAGGAAGGGGAACTCAAAGCGACAGATGTGTGTGTGTGTGTGTGTGTGTGTGTGTGTGTGTGTGTGTGTGTGTGGGTGTGTGTGTGTAAATGTGTTCCATGTCTGGATGCGTCTGATGATCCTTTAAGTGTATAGGTATCTGACCACACACCTGATCTAGAATGTCAGAGAACTGCCACAGTTTGCTCAACTCCACCAGGTTGAGCCATGTTATGTCCAGTATCCACTTTGCAGCTTTGGGTGGACAGGCTTTCAGGTCCAGCGAAGCACCTCCTGGGTGACATCAAGAAAACACATCACATTCTTATTATGAAAACAGAATCCTGAATTTTGCACCAGAGTGTAGGAGATTTTAGAATTTCTTAGTTAAATGTTTTTCTTTTGTTTGTTTGTTTTTGATTGATTGCATGTTGATGAGCATGTTTAAAATCAAATACTAGATTGCTTACTACAGTTTTTTTTTTATTTATTTATTTTTTATTTACAGGGTCAATGCACATTAATAAACAAGTGTAAATGTGCCAGAATTAGCCCAAGAGGCTATTTTTCATCCGTAGACCTCTGGGTACAAATATAAAGAATTTACAGTACATACAGTACAGTACCCTGCCCAACTGCTCACTTCATAATTTGATTAGCAGGTTAATGAATACCAACTCACAGAACTGGAATCAACATTAAACAGTTTAACTTATTATATCAAATTTAATCAAAACATTTGCCTATATTACAGTTGCTCAGTGGGTAGCACTTGCACTGTTGACTCACAGCAAGAAGGACCCGTTTGAGTTCTGTCCGAGCCATGAGTAGGGTTGGGTATCGTTTGAATTTGAACGATTCTGATACTGATACCGATTCCTTGTTTCGATTCCGGTTCCTAACGATTCTCGATTTCGATTCTTTTAAGAGGCAGGGTCAAAAAAGTTTAGCTAACCTTGCTAACCAACGGTCTTTCTGAAGGAAATACTCCTTCTGTCACAAATACTTGTCACAAATTTTGCCGAGATTTCGTAAATTTTTAGAAAAGTGAAGCCACACTTTGGACCGCCGACGTAAGCTACTCATGTTCGACTCGCGCGGTTGTGCCAACACTTCCGGTAGACGCTTCTTCGTTGGTGTTGTTCAGCGGTTTCTTCTTCCGCTCGGCGGAATGTGAATATCGAAACTAGGAATGTGAATATCGAAACTAGGAATTGAAATTTTAACTTTTGAACGATTCCGGGAAAAACGAAAAGTTAGTCCCGGTTCCAATCGATACTCGATACCCAACCCTATAGCCATTAGGGCTGGGTATTGAGACAAATTTCACAATTCGATTCGATTTCGATTCACAATTTTTCAATTCGATTACGATTCGATTCGATTCAATATCGATTATTTTGAATATCAGTTACAATAAACGGCAATTTTTCTCAAGGGAATTAAATCTCTTAACTAATGCTGTAAACTATGGGAGACTAGTTGTAGCCTACTAGGCTTCATTAGCCTAATAGGAAGGTAATAATGAATGAATCACTTAAATTACACTTTTATTTATTTTTATAATAAGAAGATTATATGAAATATAAACATTTAAATGGTGGCTGTCATAAAAACTTGCCAGATTTATTCAAATATGAAGGTAATAATGAATGCATCACTTAAATTACACTTCTATTTATTTTTATAATAAGAAGATTATATGAAATATAAACATTTAAATGGTGGCTGTCATAAAAACTTGCCAGATTTATTCAAATATGCATTAAATATTGAAGAGCATTAAGATTATAATGCATACAGTATGTAATATTGTGTATATATTTAGCAAAATGCTCCTCTCTGGAGTTATTTTTTTCTAGCTGACTAACGAGTTGATGTGGGTCTTCTGAGGTAAATATGACGATACATGACAAGACATTGATTACAAGCTGTTTAACTGACGTCTTTCCACGGTTGAGACGCTGATTGAGCGAATCAATGTGACATGATACGGATTTCGATAAGTTGTACTCTATCTTTTAACACACTTTCAGATGCTCATTCATGTTTATTTCGCGCTGTGACTGCTATTATTAACCCGGAAGAGAGATCAGCGCTGCTGCTTCTCTTGAGCTATGCCAGAGCGATCTCACGCCACAGCGCCAAAACTCTATTTATGTTTTTAAATTTCTAAAGAAAATGGACGTAATTTGAAAATTGAGATTTTGTTTCATATCAATAGTAACAAAGGACAAAGATTATTGCGATTTTTTGAATGCGCGCAGCCGCGATACAATGTCCCATTCATTCAAATGAAACAGGATGACTAATCGATTCTTGAGACTTAAGAATCGATATCGGTTCGTAAAAATGAGAATCGATTAATATCGAGAAATCGATATTTATTACCCAGCCCTACTAGCCATGAGGCAGGTCAGGTGAATTTCCCGGATGTACTGTATGAGGGTGTGTTAGCCCTGATGGACTTGGTTTAGCCCAAAACCCTTAAGCAGTCTCTAGGCATTCCTATAGTATAGCGAAATTGCCTAAATGTTTATTTATTTATTTTTCAATTGTACAAAATGGGACAGTGTAAAAGCTGTCATTTGTTTGACATGACAAAGAAATGCCAAAAAGTATCAAATAAAACGAGTTTTATTAAATAACTCAAAAGCAGGTAATCCACAGAACGAGAAAACAACACGAAACAGTGTGCCTTGCACACACAATATCGGACAACTGAAGAGAGAACAAGGGGGCTTTCAAAGTGGACGTTTTTGAAAATGGTCTCTGTGGAAACCACAAACTCGATACTCTGAAGTCGAGGACGTCATGCGCATGTGTATTACTGTAGGTGTTCAGCACTGATAATAGATAGTGGTGGAGGAAAAAAAATCAATTCTGTTCAGTATCGAGATATCTGCTCACGCAATTATATAAATACTGTAAAGTAAAGTATTGCAATATTTAGACTAAATATAAGGCCAAATATAAAAAATAATTATATATAAGTGCATTTATACAATTATATCAGTACTGCACAAAGTATTGCAATATTTAGGCTAATTATAAAAAAATAATTAGAAGTATATATACTGTATATATATATATATATATATATATATATATATATAAATATATATATATTACCCACGCCAATGGGTCTATTATTAGGGGTGACCCACCCCTAATAATAGAACCATTGCCACTGAGTGGCTGACGGATGTATTCCGTCAAAATGGCTGACACGCAGCAAGGGGTCATGTGACTGGGAGACAGGGGTGTAAAGTAACGAATTACAAATACTCACGTTACTGTAATTAAGTAGTTTTTTTTCAGAAATTGTACTTTTTTGAGTAAGTTTAAAATTGTGTAATTTTACTTTTACTTGAGTACATTTTAAGTGATGTATCGGTACTTTTTCTCCGCTATTTTCCTTCTGTTTGTGGCCGTTACTCGTTACATGCTTGTTTTAATTTTATTTTTATCCATCAACGTGATTGGATTGAGTAATAGGTCTCGTGACTGTCATCAATTCAAATTAAGCATAGAAAACTTACCGCCTATTCCTGCTGTTACTCGTGACTGCTGTGGAAGTGCATTCATCACGCATCAATTCAATCCAGATATCAGCGTCTTCCTCTAATATGCTAAGGTATATTTCACATTTCTGCTTAATATGATATTTATATAGGCTGGCCTGTCTACATGGCCTAACATTTGGTCTGAGGTTGGGGGAATTGCGAGACCGGTTCATAATGCGGTGAATTCCCGCTCCCATTACTTCACAATCACAGGATTGACGCGCGTCACGATCTGTGCACCACTGCCGCGTCTCGCGCTCGCCATGCCGCCAGATTCAGAATCAGTGCACCATGTCATTAACTTGAACTGCATTACTTAATAAGAAATTAGCACAGCTCGATAATAAACAGCATTTTTTATTGATCCATTATATTCATTTGGCAAGTGCACTTGCGCAAAAACATTTTTCATGCTGAACTTTTTTTGCGTGTGGATGCTGCTGATAAAACAGCTTAGCCGAGACTTCAGAGACAAAGTGTATTTGTTTCTTTTGTAAAAGTTTCCTGGATATAACTTCCCTATTTAATGCACAATTTTCCTTACAAATTATATTATCAGCATTACAATGTGAGTACATGTAGCCGTGTAAAATGTAAGGGATGATGCCACCCTTCTAGAACAATGCATTTACGTTTAAATTGTAACATATTTAATAGCATGGAATAAAAGTGTGTAATTAGTGTTAGCTCACTATCTTAGCCTTTTTCAGTGCATTGGTTGAGGTAATATGATAATATTAGTGATTCTCATTTATCAAAACACTAACATTGGTACCGTTTTGGAGAGAAATTGGGTATTTTTTATTTTATTTAACCCATCTCTTGGTGTGTGATGCTGAACTATCATATGAGTTTCTAAAGGTTTTTGAATTATTTGCACAGTTATGAATATTGATATTTTATGTGCAACAATAACATGCTCAGGCCCAGTGGCTTTTCGCCTAATTTTAAATGCTTTTTTCCCCCAAATAATATGATTTAAATGGTGATGAGTGTACTGATTTGATGCATTTTAAAAAGATGGATGATAGATATTCTTCAATCTTTCTTACAAAGAACAAAATATAATGTGAATTCCAGTATGTGCATTTTTTTAATTTATAAATTGTAGTGCACAGTGTTTATTATAAGGGGTAGAATCTGCACCTCAGTACTCACTACTCACTACTCTTCAGTACTTTTAAATAAGCTACTTTTTTACTCTTACTCAAGTAGTTTTTTGGACAAGTACTTTTTACTCTACTCACACTACATTTTTTGGAATGTAATGGTACTTTTACTTGAGTATGTTTTTTCAGTACTCTTTCCACCACTGCTGGGAGATCCCTGTAAAACAGTGTTCAGTCTATTTGTTCGGTTCACATGACGTCACTGCAGCTTTGCCCCGTCATCTTGATGACCAACGCAACAACAGCCAAATCAGCCGAACTGATATTTTATTCTATAACAAAAGAAAAGGATAGAAGAAATCTCTCATATTGTATCGAGTTTCATCTTTCTGTGCGCACACACCCGAGACGAAGCATGCAGCCATAGATCCCTATACAGCGAGTAATGAATTGAGCTCTGTTTCGTGTCTGAATGGACAAATACACACAAAATTATGTTTAAATGTCCGTTTTGGAGAGTATTCACGTAAAATATGTTGGTTATGTCTTTAACGGATTTGTCATCCAGTCTCTTTGGTAGAGGGAGAGATTTATCGCGGCCGTAATAATTATCAAGCTTTTTTTATTTTTTTTATTGTGCTATTAATTGATTTATTGATTATCCAGATTAATGACAGCTAGCCATGAGCCGTGGCTATCAGATGGCAAGCTACCAGCTGAGCCACTTAGCTAGCCAACAACTCGCTACCTAGTCAGAGCAAACAACCACCAAAACAATAAATTTGATTTTTTTTAATAATACCAACATTTCCCATGACTAAATGTATAAATCCTTGGTGGCCAGGTGCCGCACTTTCTATTTGCTCCTCATGTTACTGATTGTTGTTGATTTTTCTATTACGAATAAACCCCTGGTAAGTAGATCCTCATCTCTACCTGCTCCCCACGTTACAGAAGGTTGTAACACTAATTAAAAAAACATAATTTTATTATTTTGTATCAAATAAATGTGGAGCAGTTATATTAAATTTTTTAGTTAAATGGTAGATGTTAAAGCAAGACGTGTTTTCTAGTCTATTGTTGTTATACTGGCCATTTATTGAGTTCTGGGTTAAATTGTTTTGAGTATCTTTAACTGAAATATTGGCTTTATACACTTTTGTAATTAATAAAATACATTGTTTTCTTGCACTCATCTTGTCTGAAGAACGTTTTGTTCTTGAAATACTATCTAGTAAAGGTACAAACAAACCTCTCTTGTTTTACAAATGTTATAACTTGAGAAATCTTGAGAAAAGCTCATTTCTATGAGGGACAAGCAAGACAAGCAACATGGCAGCAAAGAGAGAGAGAGAGGCTCTCACAAGAGTGCATTAAAGAGCAGAATGGTATTAACTGTCTTGACGTCCACTGCCAGCACAGGGAATCAAATTGACCTTCTGGGTAATGGGCCACTTCGCTGACCGCAAGGCTATGATTTCTCAGTGATTAAATTGTGGATCTGATGCTTTTTATGAAGCAAAAGCACATGAACCAACATGGTAATCACATAGAAGCTCATCAATCTACAGAGTCACCAAGGACTCCCCATGAACAACATGTACAAATTGCAAAGAGCCAATAATATGATTTTTCTTGTTACCCAGAGGAAAGAAAAATCACAAAAGCTTCTAATGGCAAAATCACAGTCTTTTTGAGGCTATACATTTGAAACACGGTGCATGTCATATTGTATTGAACCTGGAAGATTCCTTTAAAAAAATATGGCTATTTGAATGTTTAATATGTCTCAACTAATGCAAGTATGCAACACAATGTACTAAGTAGCCTTACATAAAATGTACTGGCATTCAACCTCACAGCTTGTCACAAGGCACCACTGTGCTTCATTCATAGCACACTAATAGCTGTAGAAGTCTGGCTCTGATGGGTTCCTGCTGCTCAGTTCTGCCTAAACCCACCGCTCCAAAAGACAGCCTTAAAACCTGTCTGTACCCTATTAATAAAGGATATATAATAATAAAGAATGAGAAAAGGTGTCTAAACTTATTACGTAAGATATGCAGTAAAAAAAAAAATAGAAAGAAACTATGGAGGAGGAGAAAGTCTTTGAATGTAGAAAAACAGATAAAAAGGAGAGACTGAGAGAGACTGACTTGAGTAAGACCGGTTGGTTTCTGACCTTTAATAAGGGTCAGGAACTCCTCATGTTTGACCCTGTTGCTCTGCATGTCGATCTTGAGAGTGAGCAGCAGGGTGAACAGGAACTTGTGTTCTTCATACAAACCCCGAGCTGCGTACTTGTGCACCTCAAAGGTCATGTACTCTATGATTTTGGCGATCCGCTTGCTTGTAATTGGACTCTTTGAGGACCTACTCTCCAAGAGGAAGAAACAAGTTGGCATCTTATGTAAAACCATACTCAATGCACTCTCACATTTCACATGGACAATCTGAACAACAGGCATTATTTTATAACACCAATATCCTGTCAATTTACATTTGGACATCAGCCAACAGATATTTCATGGTGGAGCCACGTGTAGCCACAAAAATGGCTTTGTCCGCAGGCTCTGTGTCGGCCCTATCTGAACTAGCCCTTTTGAATATCATTTACAGTCTGACCAGAGTTAATTCAGATCTGCCTTGGAACCTTGGACAAAACATTTGGGACCCATACCTTGGGGTTAGTTCACCCAAAAATGAAAATTATGTCAATAATGACTCACCCTCATGTCGTTCCAAGCTCGTAAGACCTCATCTTCATCGTTCATCTTCGGAATAAAGTTTAAGATATTTTAGTTTTAGTCGGAGAGATTTCTGTCCCTCCATTGAAAATGAATTCACGGTACACTGTCCTTATCCAGAAAGGAAATAAAGACATCATCAAAATAGTCCATGCGACATCAGTGGGTTAGTTAGAATATTTTGAAGCATCGACAATACATTTTGGTCCAAAAATAAGAAAATCTCCGACTTTATTCAGCATTGCATTGTCTTCCCGTTCTGTTGTCAATCCGCATTCAGTGACGCTGCTGACGTAAGACGCTGCTGACATGTATCTGGTGCGAAAGAGCTTCGTTCACAGTCTGAGGGTGATGCAAGCTTTAAACAAAACAGTTTTCGCAAACCTGTCAAAGGATTTCGACACAGAGGAAGACTTGCATTTTTTTGCACAGCCATATTGATTTGAACCCAAATACACGGACGCACCAGATAACAGCAGAGTCTTACGTCATCAGTGTCACAGTGGACTCATGAACGTGGATTGACAACAGAACCAGAACACAATACAATGCTGAATGTTGTAGTTTTTGTTATTTTTGGACTAAAATGCATTTTCGATGCTTCAAAAAATTCTAAGTACACATGTACTACTTTATTGATGTCTTTATTTCCTTTCTGAACAAGGACAGTATACCGTAACATTTTCAATAGAGGGACAGAAAGCTCTCGGACTAAATCTAAAATATCTTAAACTGTGTTCCGAAGATGAACGGAGGCCTTACGTGCTTGGGACAACATGAGGGTGAGTCATTAATGACAGAATTTTCATTTTTGAGTGAACTAACCATTTAAGCCTACATTGGCCTCATCAGGAAATGTTGGCTTGGTGATGAAGACCAAAAATACATGCCATTTTGTCTTTGAAAAACTAATTTAAGTAAGGAATAAGGTATGAATTGATAAATGAGTTTTACTTTGCCAAGGCCAAGTCGAACAAGCCCAGGAACTGGCGCAGGGAGGTCTGATACATCACGTTCACCATGCTCATCTCTGTCATCAGAAAGTACAAGATGCTTCCTCTTGTGGCAACTACATTCAGAAAATACACAAGAGTCAGTATTTACATCTGGTATTAACAGAAGTCTCAGATGCAACTAGACATGATCCCTTTGACATTGGAGGGAAAAGGGAAATTCAAGGGAAAAGTGTCGGATTTTGTGACTACATAATAATAATATTAATAATTTGTTACATGCATAACTTTTCTCTGCACTCAAAGCGCTTTTACAAATGGCAGGGGGAATCTCCTCAACCACCACCAATGTGCAGCATCCACATGGATGATGCAACGGCAGCCATATTGTGCCAGAATGCTCGCTAATTTAGACATTTACCGCCATCTACTAACAGCTTTTATTTCATAAACAATAATAAAAAATGTATACTTAAAGGGTTAGTTCACCCAAAAATGAAAATTAAGTCATTAATTACTCACCCCCCATGCTGTACCAACCCCGTAAGACCTTCGTTCATCTTCGGAACACAAATGAAGATATTTTTGATTAAATTTGAGAGCTGTATAACTACCACATTGGCTGCCTAAGGGACTGGCTCTTGACGGCCCAGAAAGTCAATGAAGAAAATGTTTAAATATCCCATGTGACTACAGTGGCTCAACTATAAGTTTATCAAGTGACGAGAATACTTTTTGTGCGAAAAAACAAACAAAAATAACGACTTTATTCGACTATTCCTTTTCTTCAATGTTGGCCTGAAACGAGACTTCCTTAGATTTCCATGACGCATGCGCGAGAACTGAACTGAAGTGGTTGAAGGAGATCGCAATTCTCGTGCATGCATCATGGAAATCTAAGGAAGTCTCGTTTCAGGCCAACAAGGAAGAAAAGGAATAGTCGAATAAAGTCGTTATTTTTGTTTGTTTTTTCGCACAAAAAGTATTCTCGTCGCTTGATAAACTTATAGTTGAGCCACGGTAGTCACATGGGATATTTAAACATTTTCTTCATTGACTTTCTGGGTCGTCAAGAGCCAGTCCCTTAGGCAGCCAATGTGGTAGTGAGACAGCTCTCAAATTTAATCAAAAATATCTTCATTTGTGATCCGAAGATGAACGAAGGTCTTACGGGGTTGGTACAGCATGGGGGTGAGTAATTAATGACTTAATTTTCATTTTTGGGTGAACTAACCCTTTAATGAATCAGAACATCATGTAATTAATTAGATTACAAAATTTTATCACTTGACAGCCTTAATATTAATACCAGGTGTCAACTCAAAGGGTTCAGTTTACAGAAGTTTGTGAGTTCTGTACAGATTGGGGCTATTCTAATAATTTACCTTTTACATTTTCACTTCATAAGACTAACAAACTAGAGGAAAAGATTGATCAAATTTATTTACACATCTTTGAAAAAAGCCTTAAAAAAATAACAATTCAATCGCTTCACTTCAGAAGGCCTCTGTTAGCCCCCTAGAGCCATATGGATTATTTTTATGATGGATATGATGGTGCATTTTCGGGCTTCAAAATCTCAGGCTCTACTCACTCCAATTATAAAGCTTGGAAGAGCCAGGATATATATATTTAACTCTGATTGTGTTTGGCTGAAAAAATAAACTCAAATTCACCTAGGATGGCTTGAGGGTGAGTCAATTCTGGGATACATGTTAGGTGAACTAAAGGAAAAATAAGCTCTAAGTGCCTACCGGGTCTGTATTCCTCGCGGGCCGCATTGATCTGGATCTCAGTCTCAGCAGCAATCTGAAGTTTCTGTGTGACCTCCTCTGCCGTGCGTTTGGTGTTTCCCAGCACTGTGATGAGGCTCTCGTCATCGACCAGGGAGCCCTGCGTGCTGGTCAGCCTAAAAAGTAAATTATCCTCCAGTTCCTTCATTTTACGTTTATTGGCCGTCACATCCTCTAGCAGGTCGGTCCGCTCCTTCTCCAGTTCCTGAAAATCCCAAAACATCACATAGTCATTATCTCACCACACACAAAGAGCTTAAAGTAATGTCACCTTTAATTATGTAGTGCTTTGTACAATACAGGTTGTTTAAAAGCAGTTTCACAGTAATAAACAGGAAAACAAAGATCAGCAATGCGGACTTCATCAAACATGATACAAATTAAAATTCTGCTGTAAAGCAGCTCTACAGAAGACAAGACATCATTATTCAGCTCAAGTCAGTTCAACATTGATTCATTTCAGTTTAAACATGTTCTTTACAATATGAGTGTGATTAACGATTTAACTGCCTGTTTTCTCTGCCACTTACAGTATAAGCTTAATCACATACAGTATATACATTAAAAAGTCATCCATGACATGAAAGATTTAAATTATGAAAATATTTACAAAAGTGATTTTCTAAAATGCTCTTCAAACATCACTTTGTTAGCCATGTGAGAATGAGAGATGGAGGCAGGACTCAGGCGCAGAGTCAACAATATGCTTTACATAGTAAACATAAAACAAAAATAACCCAGCCGGTGAAAAACAGTCAGGGCAGACAAAAGCCAACAAAATGGGACCGGGTGCAGGAAGGCAGGGCCGAGGGGGAACACGGGGGGAAACAAAACTGCATGATTAGACAAACGGAATACCTATACACTGTGAATAGCCACAACAAACAAGCAAAACACAGGGAGATTAAGTAGGGAAGCAAATAAGGAGGGTAACGAAGGAAAGCAAGTAGGGTAATTGAACTAATAACAAGGTAACAAGGGGAGCAGGGCCAAGACGAGAGACAGACAAGAAGAGCACATTGCACACAGACACAAAGGATAATAGCAAGACTGAAGTGTGCATGGCAAAAAAGAGAAAGAAGATGCATGTGCTCAAACAGAAAACAAAATGCAAGACTGACGAAGGCACAGAGCATGGATGTGCTGACAACAATGAAACTGAACCAAGACTAGACCGAAGTGTCAGGATCCAGACACCATGTCCCGAACACACCAAATATAACAGACAAAAGCTCACACATAACAAGACTAATAGGGGTGTCAAGATCCCGTCACCATAGATCCAGGGAAAAACTAGAACAGAGGTGACAGAACCTTGACACACATTGTAGAAATATACTGTAATTACCCTTCATGGTAACACTTCACGGTAAGGATATTTTTATAAATTCATATAAATTCATGCATGAATTATGCATTAATATATCATGAATCATCAGGAACTAACACAGGTCCAATGTTTTTTCATTCACGACTTCATAGATGAACAACACATTAAAGGTGGTCGTATGGAATAATTGAGGTAAAAATATCCAAAAAATGTAGCCTGGATGCCAGCCCGAACTCCGCCCACAATATTTTTTGGCCGGGAAGTTCGGTCTGGACTCGATCCATTGAGGAGTAATTATGATCAGGTAAAAAATGAACGGGCCAATCAAATTGCCAGGGCGGGCTTTATACGATGATGGACAGATGATCAGCAGGGACATAATCATCACGTTATCAAAGAGCGCTTAACTGTCTTCCCTCAGAGATGACTGCAGCCGGAGAATTGAGATGCATAGATTCCGCTGTCGCGTCTTTTGTAAAATAAATCGACACCGCATTTATTTTAATAGACAAACAGAGAACTGCAATCAAGGCATTTTGTCGATCGGAAAGATATTTTTGGCGTCCTTCCTACATGATTCGGGAAAAGTGTAACTTATCAGCTGGCTCTGACGGTCGTTAAGAAGATGGGACATAATGAAAAGCCTGTGGTCGTTGTGGTTTCTCCTTTGGTGGCACTCATGGAGAAGTAAGTAAAAGAAGTAACACTTGTTATTTAACTTCTAAAATAAATAAAGTAGGCTACGTTCTGTATTTGAAAACTGCGCTATGCAAAGGAGTTGACTTACAGTATGCGTTGCTCTGATATGCATTGCTCTGACTATCCAATTGAGTGCAGAGGTTTTTTTTTCCTGGTTCGGTTACGACACGCCTCATAATCAAAGCCCAATGGAGGAGTTTCAGACTCATATTCTGTCTTGAATATGAGTATGACGAAGTCAAGCTACAAAAAATGAGATACACGCATCGAAAGAATGAGAAGAAATAAGTGCAATGATGTCATTAAAAAACTGACAAGTTATAGTGATGCCAAGATATAAACCTAAATTAGCATGCTAAATTACTAGCCCTGGCCCGGCAGGTGTCGTAATACCAGTTTCGGCCATGGGAGGCGGTATGCGGGCGGGCAACATAACCACCAGCCAAACTGCAGTACACGAGTAAGTAGCGCCGGCTTGTGTGTGTACTTGAACCTGATGTCAGTTGTGTGGAAATACAACCCACTACTATATTTCAGTTCAGGGAAGAGTTCAAAAAATGATAGGTTGACATTATGCATGAGGAATACATTTTGGTAAGTTGTAGCATACTGTATCTTTCAACAGTGTTCATGTTCTTTTTACATTAGCTAGTAGAGATGATCATAGATATCTATATAAAGGCTAGACATCTCGTTCGCACTGCTGGCCAATGGAGGTCGACGTCAGCACCTGGCGGCCATCTTGTCACGGGCAGCTCGCTCACTGGTAACATTGTTTTAATGGTGCATGTACTTTTTAAATCACCGTAAATGGCTCAATTTTCTACCGATTTTCAAACGGTCTGGTTTGTTATAAACGGCAGAGATGTAGTTATGATACTGCATACTTATGAATAATAAGTTTATAAATAAATAATCATCCAGAATTATAGCCACGTTAATAACGTTTGTAAGAAACCAAAATGTTTGTAAATCCGTCAAGATTTAAATGAGATACTAGTATTTCTTACATCAGATACCACAGAGCCCGCCAGAAAGCCTGTCTGTGACAAGATGGCCGCCGGTGATGACGATAAATATTCTGCCATGAGACATCTAGCCTTTATATAGATATCTATGGAAATGATGGGTTCACGTGCGCTGGGGATTTGTGGTGTAACACGTACAAGCGCCAAAACGGTATTTATTGTTTGAATTGCGTAATAAAATTGACAGAATCTGAGAGCTTAAGTAACCTGCTTGCTAAGTGTCAATTGCGTGTGTCTCATGGTGAATTTGTGAGAGTTGGCAGCTCTGAATGGCGCTAGCTTGATCAACATCAGTGAATGCTGTCTGTCAAATTAATTCAAACTAACAATAAAAGTGTAATATGAAAAAAACGAATACCATAAACTTAAAATAATAGCCACTGTACAAGGACACTGTACAATAATGTTGTTACCCATTTTTTTTCCCTGTTATTACTGTAAAGCTGTATTGAAACAATCTATATTGTAACAATCTATAAAAGCGCTATATAAATAAAAGTGACTTGACTTGACTTGAAAGATGGCACAAATTGATTAACCCTTAAATACATTATTTGTCGTAGAATGTTTAAAGCAGTTTACAATATTTTACATTTTTACTGACATTACTTCGAATATTCAGGGTTTTACATTTACATTTTACACCCTTACATTTTAATGTAACCCTCCCAGCAACATCAAATGGTCTGCCGTCAGCCATTTCCTGTTTCTACTCTTTCTACTAAAAATAGTTCTCTGTCAGAAGTACTTGAGTGGAAATGTTCTTTAGTAAATATGCAGTGGGTGAAAAGTCAATTACTTATATTTTTCAATGCAGTGAAGTAAGCCTTCGATGTAAAAACGTTGAAATAACATACCAGTGAACATCATTCAGGCTGCTGAGCCAAGAGGCCTGAGTAAACTGCATGATTTTTCAGCTTCACATTAGTATTATAGTATATTATGCAGCCCATTTTGCTCAGTCAGCTTTCAAAATTGTAGTAGTACCAGTCTCTCCCCCCCCCCTGCAGTCCAAATGTCCCTTTTTGATATTAATAGTCTAAAACGTAGTTCCCCATCAGGCAGAGACAACTAACTAGCCTGAAGCTATTATAATTTAGATCAGCGCTGGGCTGGGTGGCATGTGGATCTGTACTCTTATTATACTGAGTGTAAAAAGCGTCACACATGTCAGGCCCTTATTCCTGATTGACAAATCAATGTCCAGCAGTGAATATGTTCTGAATGGCACTTTAATTTTCGCTACCTGGAAATTCGCAGACTCCATCAAAGCCCATCTGACTGTACTGGTCTGAAATGTGCCAAGACTACAGCGATTCTCTACAGCATTGCAAGATTCTGGTGCTTTGATTCAGGTGTTTCTTGAACTTGACATAAAGATGTTGTGGGCTCTAATTTAAGGTGCTATATCAAACACCGTCAAAATCTCATAACACCAGCAATGTTCGTGATGATAAAAGACTTGGTTTAAATTATGTTCATCTTTCTTTTAATTTTGAGAATAAAAATTGTTAGGTTTAGCCTTACACAAATAAAAAAAAAACTAACATACAATACTAGCTAATGTTAAATGTATTTGTATTATTTAAAAGCATAATGTTCATAATGCTAAAATGTATAATATCGTCATGTTTTATTTTGTATTTAAGTCAAAATATCAATATTTTTTAAGTATATCGCTTTACACAAGTGTACTCTATGTATGTTTTTGGCTCATTACCAAGAGGTAATGGGTGTCCTAGACTCATGTTTTGAAAGCAGCTAGACTCCCTCTCCCTCTCCCTCTCCATCTCCCTATCCTCCCCACCACCACCACTATCATTATCAGCCATAGGAGCTGATGAAGGTTCTGCTGCTCTAGAAAACATATCTGTCTGCCTGAAGGGCCTGAAAGGGCTTTTTTTCACGCAATTTCTCTGCACCTCCCTTGCGTTTCTTCTCCAGCTCTCTGACTATTTTGAGCAGAGCCCTAAGGGGTCCAGCCGCCCAGCCCCGCCACCGCTGAAGGCAAATGATCGGGCAGAGTGGGAGGAACTTGATGCTGAACTAAGGTCACAGCAAGCTCCGCATCTTTAGTGAAATCATCTCAGAGTAATGCAGGAAGAAATTTGGAGAGGTCAAGTAGAAGGAGCCTACAGTTCAAATGAAGGGAAGGAGGGGGGTGGATAGAACACCCTACCAGTCTACAGCTCAACCAAAGCTGGAGGACAACCAGATCTCATGAGGATCTAACCTAAAGGAGCTGTGGGATGACCTCAGTCAAAGACTTTCCAATGAGTAGAGGTGTGAGAATCAGAACGAGGAAAAGGAGGAGAGAGAAGAAGAGGGCTAGATTTTTCAGAGATCCATTCAAGCACGCCCAAAGATGGCTAAACGAGAAGATGAGCTGCAAGCTAGACATTGCCAAGGAGGAGCTTGAACAGTGCATCAAGAATGAGTACAGTGACAACAGAAAAGTCACGGCACTCGGGTCTCCAAGATATGTACCATGCACACAGGCTGAAAGTGAAAGGTAAACCATGTAATCTCCAGCTTGCAGCATAGAGAGGTCATGGGGTTGATCCAGATTGCGAGGGCTGGCTTAGACAGGGGAACATCACCACAGTTCTGGTCAGAGTCCATAACAGTCAGAGGTCCATGGTGGTGGACAAAGTCATCAGGGTTGAGCAGGAGCACTTCCACATTAAGGCAGTGTCCCTAGGTTGACAAGGTGCCTGGACGTGATGTGACGCAACGGTGAATAAGCGCGTTAGCTGGGCAGATATCTGGAGAACTCTACAAACCAGACTCAGCTTTCATATAACGACAGTATAAACGATCCCCTCTGAACCCCTTTAAACCTCACCCAGTGGTTTAAAAGGGTGGTAACATCAAGGAAAGCCTTCAGCACATCCTCTCTAGGTGCAAGGTTGTGCTGACACAGAGATGATATACTGCAGGTGGTGTCATGACCAAGTCCTAGATAGGGGTAGCAGAAAATTAATTTCCTTAGACCCTAAATTTACACTGTCATCTTTTGTCAGACCAGGTGACATCTACAGGGTACCAAACATTCACAAGAAAGAAATATCTTCCTCAAAGCTGGGCGGAGTGGGAAATGTTGGTAAACCTCAAAAAGGAGCTGGTCTTCCCAAGAGAGATAACAATAACCACTCTCCAGCCAGACATCTTCATGTGGTCAGCCGAGGATAAGAGAGTCATGGTCATTGAACTTACCATTTCATGAGAAGAAGAAAAAATACAGCACTCCATGAAAGGAAACAAATAAAAAAAGTGCATTCTGAGCTGGTAGCGGAGTGCCAGGAGGCAGATGTTGGAATGCCAAGTTTTACCCTGTGGGGGCGGGGTGCCTGGCTTTCTCAGCAGAACAATGGTTCAACTACTCAGTGAGATGGGCAATGGTGGGGGTAAACCTGCGTGAGTAGTGAAGGAGCTTGAAGAGGAGGCTGAGAAAGCCAGCTTTTGGCTGTGGCTCCCAGAGGAAGGAGGGCAGTTGGGGGCTAATGGCAATAACAGAAGCTACAGGCGGTGGCAGGGAGATGCACTGGTAAAGGGGGCGACACGATGCTGAACGGTGGCTACCAACTGACGACCGTACAGCTGGCCCAATGGCACCGGAGGAGATGTGTCAGGCTGAAAAGCAATGCAGGTAGAACATCTCATCTGTGCTATAATAGTATGCAGCTAAAGGATTACCTGTATATACAACTATTAATATATCAACCATTTGAGCTATATAGTTACATATCGCTATACAGTACAATACATACAGTTTAACGTAATTGTACTCTATGTATCCGGGTAAAGTTGGATATACTTAGGGTGTACTCACACTACGTACAGTTGCCTTGTAGGGTGCCCTGGTGCAATTGTCACCCCTCCCCACTCCCCTGCTGGTCTGCACTGACATTGTACTTAACATTCTGGGCCAGAGCATTTACGATGCAACTTTTTGAAGACAACAGGTAGAAAATCGTTTTCACTAATATACTATTATATTAGATAGACTACATAATAAATTATGCCACACCGCTATTTCCACTTGATTGTGCTGCACATATCAGAAGATTATTACGGAGGCATCTGTGGAATTTTTACTCGCAAACTAAATTTCAGGTTCATCAATAAGGTGAGAACCAGACCCGTTATAAACCTAAATAATTAATTAATTAATACAATTTTTTGGAAAAGTTATATTCAAGTAGTTATAGAAGATGTTTGTCATAATAACAGTAGCGACACAAAAGTAGCAGCTGTTCCAATGCACCGGCGCGGTTAGAGATCACACTATATACTGTGCCCAAGCCCAACTGAACCACACTCTCACCCACCTCTTCCATGCGGTCCAGGGAGGGTTAAACGAACTGCGTGCAGTTACATTACAGAGTGATCACACTAGTCAAATGAACCAGACTTTGGGGGTCACAGGTGCTCAGGCACGGTTCAGATTGCCTTATGAGTACACCCTTAAAGTGTTTTTATGTATTTATTTATTTATTTATTTATTTATTTTTTGTTGAAAAATTACAAAAATATATATTGAGAATGAATCAATGTTTTGCAGGAAATGGTTTTTGCAGTGCTACAGAAGAAACAACAGAGATTTGTGAGATAAAGCCCTCGAGACTATTACTATGTTGAACGTTAATGGTCTTTCTGAGTACAGAGATTCACAATTCACGCACTTTGTCCAGTGACCCTAAAAATAACAAAAGTGCTCTCTCCCTCTTGCTTGCTCTGTCATAAAAACTCTGGGTTGTTAATGTTTATTTGTTGTTGTTTTGTTTTTGTTTTTTTTTTCTCTAAGCACTGTAGGGATCTTCATGAGGAAAACCCAGCTGTTAGTGAATAATTTGCGCCTTTGAATGCACCACCAGAAGGTTTGAATAGCCTTTCCTAATGGATAACTTAAAACTTAACATTGCATGTCTAAAATTCCAGTACAATTAACATACAATTGTGAGGAGAAAAAAAAACAAACAGTACATTTATCTTACAAAAAACAGTCAATTACAATGATGACTGAAACAGGAAGCAGAGGCCATTGCCCTCTGATCACTTTCACTGAACAAATGGTCAAGTGGTGAGTAGTATTTTGGCAAAGGGCCACTTACATGCTTTTCAGCAAGGACTAATGGTTGAACGTTACATCCGTAATTAATATTCATAAGTCAAGGTATAAAAGTATAATAGTGCCCCCAACACACATTTCAGACCTGTTTTTTGCACATATGAGTTCAAAGGGCCCATACCTGTTTCTCGGTGAGAATGACTCTGCCCAGTAGCTGATCTTCCAGGCCCCTCATAGTAACGGTGAAGTCGATTATGGATGTCCGTGCGCTGATCTCAGGAGTGTATACTGGATTGGGCAGTTTGGTGGTCACATATAGACGGAAACCCTTCATTACATCCACTTCTTTATCACCTACTTTCACCTGATGGCATGAATGAGTCACAGATCAGAATTCAAAGTCCATGCAGGTGAAGAGCCGCTTTAATAATAAAAAAAATGAATTAAATAATACTAAAAAATAAAATAAACCATCAGGAGAGTAAAGACACACTATCTCAGCCTTTCAGGATCGAGTTTGGACACCCCTACACTAGAGGATGACTTAGAGAAAAATAACTTGAGATGCTTCTAAAGAATAACAAACATTTGAACATCAGAAGATCCTTAGAAAGAAGTTAGAGACAGCTAATAACAGCTGTGTTAATGACCTTCCAAACATAAAAGGTGTTGGTGAAGTTGTTTAAAATAAAATGCCAATTATCTCAACAGGGAGTAACTAATTTTATTTCCATGCTAATTAGCGGAAATAGACTGCACGGTTGTGATGTGATTATGCAGTGGTTTGACAATGATAAAGCGACGTCTTCCATTCAGTCTCTGCTATAAAAAAAAAGCGTGACCAGGTGTTTGCACCTTTGTATTAATAGAGCTGAGTAGTTAAACTCGTCAGAGCTCTCACTGCTGCTTCCAATTCTTTTTTTGAACGTGTGAAGCAGCTGCTGTGTGTGATGAAGCAAAGCCTTTTTCAAACAACTGGATTTTTGATAATGAGATCAAGCAAAGATGCCCGAAAGATCACGACTGTCACTCACGATCGCGTCCCACACTAACACTAAACAGCTTGAGCAGCTGATGTCATCACCTCAACTAGGAACTGAAAGAGCACAGACGCAGCACTATATCTTTTTTTAGGTTCTTAATTATGAACTATTCTTTCAGAGTACTTGCTATGTCCTGCTTCTATATGATTTCCTACGCATTAGATATCTTTCCGATAAAAAGTATAATAAAGGACAGGATGTTAAATACAATTCCAATTTGTTTTCTCTATTGTTTCTTGTAAATAATGAGAAGCAGAGGTTCTGTACAAATATAGAGAATTTTCTCATTACACAAAGCAATCTCACTCATTACCTAGCAAAAATGTTATCAAAAATAGGGCAAAATGTATTTTAAATCACTGGAACTGCTGAGGACAATGATGTTCCCTTTAATGGAAATGTCCCCATTTCCTCCGAAGCAGTGTTGTAGTACTCGAGACTCGGACTCGTCTCGGACTCGGTCTCGAATCCATATTTTAATGGTCTTGGTCTTGTCATGGACTCGTGTCCATTTGGACTCGGAATTGACTCGTACTCGAACATTTTTTTTTTAGGACTCGGAATTATTCCCGAGTCCACTCGAGTTCAATTAAAAATATTTTTCATGATTATTAATGTATGTTAATAAAATATTTCTTTAAATTGATTGACACGGCCAGTGATTGGTGATTTTTTAGTGCGCAACTGCGCATGACAAATTGTAATAAAATTACTTTTAACACCACCTACTATGTGGCCGTTTTACCCTAAACTGATCATATTTTTTAAACTCTAAGTAAATTCAGTAATAAAAAAAGGATTCTCTAAGTAAATAAAAGTTAATTAGGTAATCAACCCTCACTGGTCTCGGTCTCGACTCGGACTCGACCGTCTCTGGTCTCGGTCTCGACTTGGACTCGACCGTCTCTGGTCTCGGTCTCGACTCGGAGTCAACCGTCTCTGGTCTCGGACTCGATTCGGACTCAACTCTCTCTGGTCTCGGTGTCGACTCGGACTCGAGTGAGGTGGTCTCGACTACAACACTGCTCCGAAGCATATACTATATTTGTTTATATATGAGAACTTTTGATAGTAAAATACAGGAGAAAATGCATACAAATAAGCGTTATGCTTTTGGCATGCTGTGAATACGGTTCAAAATGAAAAATGAAACTCTTTAAAATAATAATATTGAGCATCCAAATTCCTCTTTTGCTTATTGATCTCATCTAACAATACCTTATATGTGGACCCAGTCTTGATGAAGTTCTTCTCCAGGACATTGTCCAGAGCAGGATCCAATTCCTCCCCAACATCCTCTATCAGTAGGGGACGTCCTAATGACAAACTGTCCTCTAGGTGGTTTCTGAAGTACTTGTGATTCAGTGAGGTGATCTGTGAAAACAGCAGGACCTCTTTACTGACCCAGCTCAAGTTCTGTTACTTGGGAAAGCTATTACCAGAGGAGGTGGTGATTTGTTATGAGGTTACACCATTACAAAATGTGTTTGACCTCTTAAAAAGAACTCATGCATCAATGCAAGCTGTGCATAATCAATGAGATTTCAACATGATTCACAAGAATATGAATGTTTAGATCATCTGCAAATGGTTAATGTATCAAGTTATTGTACATTTATTTGTAATAGCAACACTAAAAAAATGATATTAAAAACAGCAGCTTCTCAGTATTTTCAGTAACAAGCTACTTTTTCCATTGATCAGCATGACTAACTGGATGTCCATGTAGCACTTTATGCACACAGACAAATGTAATTTAAATTTAAATGCAAATGTTTTATTAGTAACTGTAAAACCTAACTACTTTTTTTTTGTTTTTTTACATACGCATGCTACAAATTAAATAATGAACACCGATGAAGCCCACAAATCATATTGTTATAAATGTACAAGTCATTTATTCTGAGTAGTCACCTGAAGCTCGTTCTTGGATTCTTTGTTCTTGATCCAGATCTTTCCCTGGGTCTGGGGGTCAACCAGCAGGGGAAATCTGGCAGCTTTTGTAACAATAATCCCATTTTGGATGGATAGGTCATCATTGGGGAGCCCCTGTAAGTTCCATTCACTTACAGTGGGAGCATCAATCAACATCTCAGTGAGATTCAGATTGGTCCTAAAAGGTATTCGGCGGGACTTCATTTCTCTCTGCCAATCAGTGAGAAGAAGGTTGCGGAACTCTTGGTTGAAAGGCCCAGAGTAGGACAGGAAGGCTGTAGCCAGCAGCACATCACCTGAGCATGGGAAATGTAAAATTTAATAATAATAATAACAATGTCATTAGTTTTTGACGTTTTTTGAAGTAAATATGAGTGGTATCTCAGTTACAATAATCTTGCACTTAGAATTCTACAGGTTATCGGTTGTTGCAATGTCACTGCTACTGTATATGGTTTTAGTGCATTGCAATTCAATAGGGTGTTGCTATGGTTGTTAATTACTGGCCCAAGTCGGCTTGGTTTCCTTCATAAATGTAAGTCAAAGATATGACAACACCCATTTTATCAGTTTCTGTATGCAAAAATTGTCCCAACAGTTGTAATTGTAATAACACACCACTACTCAGCATGAGGACACTTAGGAAGTTCTAGGTGGTTGCTACGGCAATTCTAGGTGGCTGCTTACCAGCCCAAGTCAAGTCACCTTTATAGCAGTTTTAACAATGTAGATTGTTTCAAAGCAGCTTTACAGTGATAATAGGAAAATAAGTAACAAAGATTGTTTTGGCTTTATAGCAGCTCTAGATTAAAGTTATTGTCCAGCTAAATTTAGTTTTGATTTATTCACTTCTGTTACAAAGATCATTGGTTATTAACTAACGCTAACACAACACTGTTCTAACATAAAGTCAAAAGAGCTCCAAGTCTCTATTATATTCTGGTTCCTTGACATGGCTCAGGTCTATGAGGTATTTTGCCTGTTCTATTATCCAAATTGTATGTTCTGGATAAAAAAAAAGGTTTTACGTAACCCACCAACTAGTCTTTTGGTCTGAGCAGCAAACTCTTTACTAAGCTGTGTCCAACGCTCCTTCTCTCCTCCCAGCCCACTGATCAGACTAGAGGCCGTTTGCATCTTGTGGCGACAGCGTTCTGCATCCTCTAGTAAAGTCTGAGAGAGAAAGGTGAGGTGAGGAGGTAAAAAAAAAAGAAAAAGAAAAAAAGATTCATTCTGTCACTGTGCAGGTGTGCGCTTCTTCACATTTATTGACTCTTATCAAGAGTGAGAGTGTGAATTCAATAGAGTGTCATTTAACATGATCTAATAGAATTCATGTTGCCTTATTTAATAGACAGGTGGGGTTTCTCAGGACACGTATTTAAGTGATATTACACAGTGTCAGTTAGTACAGATATTGTATGCATGGTATTTACCAAAAAAAAACTACCTTAAATCACTTTTAATTTGCATAAAAGTTTATCAAAATGTTATTGCATCTATTATTCTATTATCTATTCTATTATCAACATTTTATTATATCTATGGTGTTACTTTACATTTGATACTCTAAATTGAATCTGTGAGAACTAACACAACACTAGCTTATATGTATATTTAATAAAAATGTTGTGCCGTTTAAGGATTTGCCTTTTATTAGATATGACCTTTACAGGTAAAAGGAAGTAATTGGTAGATTAAGTGGAAATGGGAAACAAGACTGTCAAGACACAAACCTCCATCAATAGATAACATCTAGGTTATTAATGTAACTCCAATACGAATACAGGTGACTGACGAATTGGGATCCCGTCTGAGAGCCCAATCACCTTTCGAGTGTAAATGGCACCGCAAGCGAGACACAGAGCTGGTCTGCCCACTTACTAGCTACTTGTAACCAGTACACACTGACTTTACTCTAAGATTCTAAAACCTTGCAAACCTTGCACCCAGCCCACAGCTTTATAAATGTCTTCCAGCAAGCTACCATACACCAATGCCCAGGAAGAGACAACACTCTGAGTGGAGTGAGCTCTCAACCTAAGGGGGCAAGGCTCTTCTTGAGCTTGAACCTCTTCTTAGAGACAATCTTTCACTTCTGCTGGCCTCCAACAGACAAAGAGCTGGTCTGAGGTCCTGAAGCTCTGCATGCGGTCTATGTACAAGCACAAATTGCAAACAGGACAGAGCGGACCTGGACTGGGTCTTCCTCCTCCATCCTGAAGGAGGTGGTGGGAACCTTGGGGACAAATCCAGGTTGGGGTATTAGGATTACGTGAGAACTGGCTGGCCAGAATTTCTAGGCATGATCCGTCAACTAAAAATGCCTGCAGGTCATCTCCTGACAGAAGTGAGCACAGTCAATAGCGCTGTCTTGAGAGACATTATCTTCAGCTCTACTGACTGCAGAGGGTCGACGGTCGCTCTCTGAGAGAGACAAAGACCAAGGAGGTCCCAAGAGGGTATAAGGTGAGGTCAGGGAGGGTTCTCACGCTCCTCAGGAACCTGATGATCAGGTTATGCTTTTCTTTAGACTGACCATCAACTGCACTGTGATGTGCGGTGATAGCAGCAATATACATTTTCAGGGAGTGTGGAGACAGTCTTCACCTCAAAACATTCTGCAAGACGGAAAGCACAGATCTGATTTGGGCACTTCCTGAGGTCTTCCTGGTGAGATTATAGAGCTCCGGACATATGTACCATAAGGTGCCCCGTCTCTAAAAAAAAAAAAACAGAATCCGCCAGCTAGGGGCTATCGCAAGGAGCATCAGGTCTGGGAACCAGGTCTGGTTGGGCCTGTACGGCGCTCAACCAGAGACATGCTGTCATGTTTACCAAGTCCATTTTCATTTTGAGATAAGAGACACTCAGGACGGGGGAGAGCTTACTATTTTTCCAGTAGACACGAAGCCTTAGATGGCTGAGGTGCTTCATCACCAAGTCCCTGTGTTTGGGGTTGGAGAGACCGAGGGGGTGGGGGTGGTAATGACCCCTGAATTTCATACATTATAGCATATTATAATGAAACTTATTAGACCTACATTAATTTATATAATAGCAAAGTATGCCTAATCAATGACTGTACCACATATTCTAGATATATATGAAGGCTATCACAGGGCTCCAGACTAACTTTTTTCACCTCCGTCCTGGAACCGTCCTGAATGACAATTTGAACCGTCCTAAAGTGAATGTCAACCGTCCCAAAATAAAACTTTTGTTTCTGTACCTGCTGTTATCATCCATAGCTGGTTATTAACTAAAAAGATTCAGATGACTAAAATATAATGGGTTTAGTTCAACTGTAATGCATTAATTCAGAATTTATAATTTCTCTAAAATTTCCAAACCTACATACTTCCAGAGAAAAAAAATCTATTAAGCAGTTAATATGAATGATTTTAAAGTTTGAACATGCAATACAGATACAGATTTAACTACTGTGACTTAAAAAATACCTTAATTTTTTCCAAACAAAATTATTATTTTTCTTGCCTGAATGTTTGCACTCATTGCATTTTTACAATGGGGAAATGTTGTTAAGAATTTACACAACACAAAGCTTGATTTAATTTGTTCAATTAAATTGAAAAAAGTTGCACAAATAAATACATTAAAAATACAAATAAAGAAAAATAAAGAGAAAAGTTTTTGAAGGTCTAACACTATTCATAGACAGAAACTGAATAAAGTAATCAATTGGAAAATAACAGTGGATAGTATTTTAGTCCAGAATACATTAAAAAGGCCTACATAGGCTATCAATCCTGATTCCTTTAACTTTAATTCCTTAAACTTGTTGTTTTCACGACAAAATTAATGACCGACACATATGAGTGCTGTCTCTTTAAGAGGGCACGGATTCTGTGTTCATTATGCTGGCATGCGTTTTATGCTTATTAAAGACAAAACCGACTATGTTTAGACTATTATACTCACGAAGACCGAAATTGACATAGTTTTGCATGTTAAATGCAATATAATCCGTGAAAAATAACGTCGCTGGTTACGTATGTAACCTTAGTTCCCTGAAGGGAACGAGACGCTGCGTGTAATCGCAATTGGAACGCCCCTGCGTGAGTGCGTATGAAGCACGTATGAAATCAGTCCAATGGCGAGAAGGAACGTCATAGGCGGGGTGACGTATCGACCAGAAAACTATAAAGCACACCACAAACACAAGCGCGACAGCTTCTGATAAGACTGCAGCAAGTGCTCACGGGCATGCTGGGAGTATGGCGTGGACACGCAGCGTCTCGTTCCCTTCAGGGAACTAAGGTTACATACGTAACCAGAGACGTTCCCGTTCAGGGAACTTCGAGCTGCGTGTAATCGCAATGGGAATGCTAATACCAACGCCGCCATGCGAGCAGGTGCCCGTAGTGTGAGATCACGAAGCACATACTAATGAAAGCACCTGAGCTCCCGGGGTGGAGCTAAAGTCAAGATGGTAAAATTTCACAAATGTGTGCGGGGAGGACCACCCCGCTGCATCACAAATGTCACCAATAGGAACTCCTGACACAAATGCCTTAGAGGCAGCCATACCCCGAGTAGAATGGGCATGGACAGCCAAGGGGGAAGGCTGACCTGCCGACTCGTAAGCAAGTGAGATGGCCTCGACCACCCACTTACTCAACCTCTTGCTTCGATGCCGGACAACCTCTATTAGGAGGTCCAAAGCAGACGAACAGCTGCTCAGACTTTCTCCACAGGGCAGATCTGTGGACGTAGGCATCCAGGGCCCTCACAGGGCAGAGCAGATTTAACCTCTCCTGGTCTGAAGTCCGGAACGGAGGAGGACAGAAGGCCTGCAGGATGACAGGCCTGACAACGTTTGTTGGAACCTTAGGGACGTACCCCGGTTTAGGGAGGAGAAAGGCCTTCGCCATACCGGGAGCAAACTCAAGGCACGAGGGAGAAACCGACAGAGCCTGAATATCTCCTATCCTCTTTAGCGAGGAGATGGCTAGGAGAAAAATGGTCTTTAAGGTGACAAATTTCTCAGGGACATCTTCAATGGGCTCAAACGGTGCCTGGCAGAGCCCCTCCAGAACAACCGCCAGGTCCCATGTCGGTACCTTTGTGCGCACTGCTGGCCTCAGCCTCAAAATACCACGCAGGAAACGGCTAACCAGTGGGTGTCTCCCGAGAGAAACTCCACTCAAAGGGACATGGTAAGCTGACAACGCCGCCACATACACCTTCAGTGTGGAGTGGGATAACTCTGTGGAGAAACGCTCCTGAAGGAATTCCAGCACCGCCGACACCGGGCCGTTAACTGGATCCAACTGGCGCTCTCTACACCAAGAGGTGAACATTTTCCACCTCAAGGCATATAATTTCCTCGTGGACGGAGCTCTGGACTGGAGAATGGTCTCTACGACCTCAGCCGAGAGGCCTGACCCTATGAGCTGGGCCCCCTCAGAGGCCAGGCCCATAGTCTCCAGAGATCTGGGCGGGGGTGCAGTATCGACCCGCACGCCTGGGAGAGAAGGTCCCCCCTGACCGGAATCTCCAGCGGAGACCCGTCCAGGAGAGAGACAAGGTCCGAAAACCACACTCGGGCCGGCCAGTACGGGGCTATTAACAGTAGACTGACCCTGTCCCGGCGAACCCTCTCGAGAACTCCTGGGAGCAGAGCAATCGAGGGAAAAGCGTACAGGGGTGACCTCGGCCACTCCTGCACCATCGCATCCACCCCCAACGGGGCTGGTGGACTTAGAGCGAACCACAGCGGACACTGTGAATTCTCGCTGGAAGCAAAGAGGTCTACCTCGGCACGACCAGAATGATTCCAAAGGAGCTCCACCACCTCGGGGTGGAGTCTCCACTCCCCGGGCCTCGGCCCCTGCCTCGACAGGAAGTCTGCTCCCTGATTCAGATAACCTGGAATATACATAGCTCTTAAAGAGAGAAGTTTCCCCTGGGACCACAAAAGGATCTGGCGAGCCAGTTTGTACAGAGGGCGAGAGCGCAGGCCCCCCTGATGATTTATATAAGAGACCACCGATGTGTTGTCTGACCGGACAAGCACATGGTGGCCCCTTAGGTCTGACAGGAAGTGTTTCAGAGCCTGAAACACCGCCAACATCTCCAAGCAATTTATGTGCAGATGACGAAGATGGTCCTGCCACAGACCCCGGGCTGAGCGACCACTCATGATCGCC